TATTTCAAATTATGGCATTTTTACTGTAGTTCTATTTGCATAATGAAAATTATAAGACTAACAAATTCATGACCGCAACTGTAGGCATACAGGTGCAGCAGACAAAAAGTTTCTCGTGTCCACACTTTTGTCAACTAATACCGATCACAGTCACCACTACATTTATGCATGTCAGTACATTCTAGTTCTGTCTTTAGACACTTGCATTGCTTTCTACAATCTTTTTCTGGCTGACATAATTTCTTCCACTTTGTCTTTGGTTGGCTTATAATTTAGTGCAAAAAATGCTGTAGCAACCTCATCATATGCTTTCTATGTTCTCGATGCAAATGTGTTTGCCCCTGCCTGCAAAAAAGGCAACAATGGCAGTAAATGCTAATGCAAATTTTCCAACATCATCATGGATACGTATAGTCCCGGCCAAAAGTTCTGTGCCTGGCAGTTTTGGCTAACATGGTTTTGTGGCAACATCGGAGACACGCACTACCTGTGGTACTTGGTAGTAGGCAGCTACCAAACAGGGAGGTACTACCGCCTGTGAAGATACTGGAAGCATAATGTGTTGTCTGATGGTAAACCCTGCTGCCATATGGCATCACAAAAATTGTGACCAAATCCCAGGTTGCTGATCTGACTTCTGCCTCATTTACACACAATTGCAGGGTCTCAATTGTTTCTCTTTGACAACACAACATACATACTGTATATCATTTCTCACAATTGATTTTTCTTTCAATTTTGTATTTCTTTATGGTCCTTTATTATTATTAAAGTGTTGTTATTATTATTGTTGTCATTATTTTAAATTTTGTATTTTTATTTTTTTAATTTATTTATTATGTATTTAGCATATCCTCTATGAACTACACAATTTATCGATGATCTATGGTAGAGTGTATTTTATATTGTATTGCTTTTAATATAACATTATCAGTGATATTGGCCACTGTCAGTCAGTTGCTAAAACAATGCCTCTATCACATGTGTAAATACTAGTAGCCAGGTAAAACAACCGAGCTGCCTTGCATAAAGAAAAGACATAGAAGGTTTGCTGTGAACTCTTACCATTTTCTATCATATTAAGTGAATATGATGATAGGAATATAAATGTTGTCTAAGGAGAAATAAATTACTTTATATGTTACAAACACTTTTAATAAAAAAAAAAAAACAAACATTGTGTCTATTAGACACCTGAATTATGGGACCAATCCATTCTAATAATAATAATAATAATAATAATAATAATAATAATAATAATAATAATAATAATAATAATAATAATAATAATAATAATAATAACAATAATAATAATAATAATAATAATAATAATAATAATAATTAAAAGTTTATTTAAAGAGCATGGCAGCCGGAAGGCTGAAAATATACAATTACAGTACATAATTAGGGAATGAGTCTCTTGATTTACAAATGATATACTACAGGTAACATAAGTGATACAAATATGATATATGATAATTAGGTGTTGATAATTTTTACAATGGTTGGGACTGGGCTGTTCTTATAGCAATCAGTTCGTGCTCGTATGGGCTGGATGCGGTTGGGCAGGTGTGTGGCCATGTGGCCAGGACAGTAGCTTGGAGCAATGCAGGTGTGCTCCATCCTTCAGGTTAGGTCAGGTGAAGCCGTGAGATCAGGTCAGGTTAGGTCAGATCCAGCCACACACAGTATTACACTGCTGTGTTTTTGTGCTTTTCCTTGGAGTACACTACAGGAACACTGTTTGGTAGTCAATCTTTCACTGATCACTTGAATGTTTTGCTGAATAGATCCTGGTGCAGTAAGGCTGATAGGGCGTTGGGATGTAGCAGGGGTTGGTGGGGGGGGCAAACAGGCTCGGTCTGGCTGCTCAAACTGGGAGCGCCTTCAGGGCACATCTTGTCTTGCTCTTCCACTTTGAACTGCACCACTTATCGGTGATATTACTTCTTTTGTGCGAGTGACAGGAGGACAATTATTATATAAAACACTATATTCATGGTAGGGACATGATGGAGACTGGTGGTGGTGGGTGCAACATCCCTCTCCTACTGCTTTTATTTAAGTTATTAATGACGCCAGTCTCCTTGCACATGATAGTTTATTGTAATGTGGAAATGATGATTCTAGGGACAATTAATGCCATACACCGCAACCTTTAACTTATCCGAGGTTATGACGTGGTCATACAGCAGCCGTTCAAACATTCCATGAACTACAACCATGGGAAACCAACATGACGATTTCTTCCCGAGGGCAATTAGTCGGTACGTGTAATGCCAGGTTAAGTGTCAGCGAGATTGCAAGGCAGATGGGAATCTCGAGATCGACAATGCGGTGTTGGTTACAGCAGTTTGAAGAATCTGCTAATTTAGCAGATCTTCCCAGTTCAGGACGGCCAAAACTGACCAATACAGCAGACGACGTGAGGATTGTGGCAGATATTCGTAACCATCCTTTCACCAATGCGATGGCCACAACAGAGTGGCTGCACTTGGAGGTCTCGGCTAGGACAGTTCGGTGACGACTCCATGGAATTGTAATCCACTACAGGGTCTCTGCTGTCAAGGAAAGGCTAGAAGAACAGCACCAGGTTGGGACTACAGTTCACTGATCATTATGTGGGGAAAGACCTGGACTTCTGGACAACCATGGCCATCTTCACTGCTGGAGACCTGATAACACCCGCTATGACCGGCAGCATATTTATCAATAAGCCAGGAGTGGCCACGTGACCGTAAACATGTGGAGCTGGATCAACCTCAACAGTGTGGGCGAGTTGATGGAGGTAATATGTTTTCCTTCTGTGTTATAAATATATTGATAAGTAATATCTCCACTAGCCTGAATCCCTCTTAACCGGAACTCTCCAATATCCAGAATTGAAATTTGATTGAAATTTTCCGGAAAAATTCTAAATTCTGGGTTTGAGAACAAATTCTGAGGTTGAAAATCAGGTACATTATCTGAATATCACAAGAAAAATTCTGGAAAATCTAAAAAAAAAAAAAATATTTTTTGGGTATATGAATAAATTTTCAGGGCATTCCAAAAGATTGTATCATGCCCCAACCCATGGAGATATAAAGGGTGGAGGTGGCATGCCGCGCATTCCCAGTACTGAACTGTCAGGTAAGGCCAATTCCCCCCTGTGTTGACCATCTTTGTATAAGCAGGTCGCATGCCAGGAGGCTGAGTGACCCTCATTGCACTACAGTATTTACATAGCATCCCTGTGTAATTAAGTGAAACTATTACACTGTATTTTATTTTCAACCATTTATTATATACTATAGTACAATAAAACTACATTTCAAGGAACAACACTAATCATTAGCATCAATTATCCTTATCATGGCACAAGCCTGGTACCCTGACCACAGGGAGATTTCTATGCATTTTTACCTTGCAGACTGATCATTAGATTCCACAGAACAACATTAACTCATTCATGCTGGTTCTACTTTTGACATATTTGAGAGATACGTTTTGTGCTGTGAATTTTTGCCTGCATATGTGTATCTCACTTGTAGGTAAGTCTCAGCTACTGCTTTGATTAGCAATACAATATAGATTGTTGAAAGGATCACTTATTGACAAGTGTATTGCCAAGCCTGGGAATATAGGTCCTCAGTGTTTACTCAACATTCATACTTCCCAAGCTCACCTGTCTCCCCTCCCTGGTTTTCCTCCCTAAATGCCACACAATATAAACACCTAGAAAAAGTGCAAAAGAGGGCATGCAAAATTATTCTCTCCCCTTCCTACTCCACATATCAAGAAGCACTCAACACACTGACCAGTGCCGGATTTAGACCTGTGGAGGCCCATGGGCAGCCTCTTTGTGGAGGCCCCCCTCATTATAACTACCCAAGAGGGTGGGGTGGCGAGTGACGCGAGCCTAAACATCTGGGAGTTCCGGGGGGCACTGTAAGCCCCCGGGAAAATTTTGAAATTTGAACACTTCTTTGGAGAATTTTGAAGCCATATGCAGTTATATTAAGGTTATTAGAACATTGAGAAATTTTTAATTAACTGTATATTTATTGATAGTGTACAAATTCCCAACACACACACACACACACACACACACACACACACACACAAAAGTGAGACATGACTGGAGTCATTCATGTGGTTACAAGTCGACCAGCCCTGATATTGCTACTACCGCACATGTCAAAAATTTGTGGAATTCTAAATATATTATTAGCAACACAAACAATAGCATTCATTAAAAATATACGGTTCATAGGAAAACCAGGTATTCATGAATTTCAAGGAGTAGCTAGCCTAATTTCTATCACGCTTCTTGCTGAACATACATGTAGTTTTACGTGATGGAATAGATAAACATGAATTTTAAAGAATGAAAATAAAAATAATCCAAATGAATAAACAAATAAATAAAATATTGTAATATGTGGAGGCCCCTGGGCAGCTGCCCACTTTGCCCACTCCTGAATCCGGCCCTGACACTGACCCTCTCGGCTCTCTCTGATCATCACCAGGACCTCATCTGCAAATTTGGTGAGAAGCTTCTACATCATCCTTGACACCGGTTCCTACTACCACCCGAGATCCCTTGTCAGCGAATTGCTGTTCGACACCACAACCGCATCCAGCCCACACGAGCATGTACTGATCACTATAAGAACAGCCCAGTCCCAACCATTGTAAAAATTATCGATAACTTGTTATCAACCAGTGTATTCACTTCCAGTCAATATCTGTACTGTATTACCTTTTTTTACTGTCACTGTTGAAATGACCTGAAGTATAACCTTCTCCCCACCTAGTTATTATATATCATATTTGTATCACTTATGTTACTTGTATATTATTTGTCAATCAGGAGACCCATTCCCCAATTATGCAACTGTATATTTTCAGCCTTCCGATTGCCATGTTCTTTCAATAAACCGTCAATTATTATTATTATTATTATTATTATTATTATTATTATTGTTATTATTATTATTAAATTACAATTTTGTGGCAATCATAGGTTGACAGTTTTGCATAGGGGTGTATTTTACTGGCAAGCAATATTTTTTCTCTGAATACCTTTTTGCATAAGCAACATATAGCAATGACATCTTTAGTCGGAAATGATAGATTCCCTTTGGCTTTTATAGTGATTAATGCACGATTTTCATCCATCCACATTTTTGGGTAAATAGTACACTACGGCATGCTTCACACTTCAAAGATTTCTTAAGTTTCACAGAGACAAAACCAGCTATATATGCAACTATTTTCTGAGCACAAGGAGGGACCACACTAGATTAAACTAAGTTAGCATTTCCCTCTTCTGAGAGCACAACAGACTCCTCATATTGATAAATGTTATCTTGCTCAAAGACCCTGCTTATATCAAGAGAAGAGTTAATTAAATTGCTCATTGGAACATTGGCATTAAGATCCTTTAGATAATTACTAGAGGCAGTTGGAATTGGGATAGATTCTAAAGCTAAGCAATTTCCACGAGTCACTTCTTCAAAGTTATTGCGAGTTAACACCTTCTTGTAGGCTGCTGATAACTGCCAAGCCGTGGGATTGTTGTTGCACCCTCCCATACTCCTAATTTTGCCAAAAAATATTTATATATGATCCAGACTCATTTTGTAAGTTGAGAAGTAATCCAAAAGTGGTTTTGAAGTAACAATTAACATTTTGCTAATTTTTTGCAGACTTTTGCAACAAACAAGGAGTCCAATAAATCCTGTTTTTCTTCTGGATTGAACAATAGGCAGCTATCAGGCAGTAATGTTAAGGAAACCAGACACTGTTGTACACTTTCTGAACTTCATTACCTCTGAATTATCATTTGCTTGCAAAGGGCGCTTCCAGCCGTAACTACACAAGTTACAAGAATTCATGATGTCAAACAGTGCATTGAGTGTTCGTATGAATTTTATTGTTCCTTGGCAACCATGAAATCCGGGTATCTTCTCATCCAAACAAAACTGGAGGGAGTTGGCAACAGTCACCAAGTAACTGCACGGCCAATTTTACAATCATTTTCCCTTCACGTATTCAATATGTAAAGCTCTTAACTTGTTTCCGAGATGCAGACTTCTTTTTCCTGTAACTGGTGGAGATTGACAATGAATTGCCACTCAATTGTATTACCTTCTGCATCAAAAAATTTACCTAGATCGCCAAGAGAATTTCTTAACAACTTGAACATATGACATGGATCAAGAAAAATGCACACTGGCTTGCCTGTAGCAGGAGGATCATACTTTATATTTTCAGGATTCAAGCTGCAACCAAGATTTTTCATCATAGCTAAATTAGGAGCTGCACCATCAAAAGTTAGAGATACAATATTCACTCCAACTGAATGAAGTTTGTTCAAAGCCAGCAAAACTAAATTGCTGCATTCATTACCACAAAGTCCATTAATAAAAAAATATCCAATTGTTAACTAAAAAGTAGACTTGAATGACACTAGCATAAGAGTGAGAGCTTCTTTAGCTACAGCCAAGCAATCATCACATAGTTCAGTCCCCATGTCGATAAACCTGCGATATATTTTGCCATCCCATTCAACATGCTGATGAATAGCCATTTCATTCATCACCAAAGAAAAAATATTGCCAGAAGTTTCGTCTGTGGATTTCTCGACCTTCTGCTCGAGTGCACTGAATGATGCCTTGGTAAATCTGGGTTTCACTTCTACTGTATTGTACCAATTTTCCAGCGTTCGTGGATGCAGCAGACAAGTATAAAAAGTTTTTCTTATGAATTTAATACACTAATCAACGAACACAAGTCGGCATTATTCTTTTTCAGTCGTCGTGTTTTTTGTTGCAAAAGTTTTATTTTTTCCAAGACTTCACAAGTTTTCCTCTAATTTCCTCTTCATCACTTTCATTGGAGAGTTTGTTAAATTAGCTTCTAGGTGATTTTCTGCTACATTAACAGTGGAAGCTGCAGCTTCAGAAGGAGAAGGCTCACAAACAGTCTGAGTTTTGGGGGGCTTCCTGTTATTTGTCTTCTTCTGCAGGTGAGCAGCAAAAGCCTCAAATATACTAGGAGCAGCATTTTCTCGTAGTCTGATGCAAGACAAAGAAATTCTGTCAAAATCTTCAGGGGCAAAATGCTTAGAGCAGAGACGTGCTTGTTTGCCTGGTGTGTAGTTGTCTCTTAGTAAAGCTAAAACCCATATTTGCCTTCTGCACGTGTCTTTCAGCAGCCTGTGAAAAAGATTAATATCGATATGTAATATTAATCCTCTTTCATCCCATGAGTGTATATAAGAAAGTCCTTCCTGTTTATTATCAAGCACATTTGTTCAGGGAAGCAGATTAAAAACAAAATTTAAATTTAACTTACTGGTGAAATGTAATAGATGGATCAGACTTCTTGTTAGGCCTTTCATTGCACCCAAATACAATGCAACTGGTAGGCATTGCAGAATACCCAATCACTGCTGGGTAGATATCGCAACCACAAACTCTAACACTCACTGCCAAGTTAGTACTGAGCATGTTGAAAGTGTGTGGGACGTGAGGAGAGCAAGCTTGACCTGACCAGAGAGCAGCAGCCTACAGCAAGATGACTGCCAGTCAGGTCGCTGGCTTCAATCTGTCAGGCTGATGCCAACCCCACCCTTTATACCTCTGTAGCAACTCAAGAATAACTACACATTGTTTGCTACTTGTATTTAAACTGTTATAGAGTAATGTAATGTACCATGACTGCAAAAATATTGATCTCCTCTGCATAATTAGTTGTGTTTATATACTGTACATGCTTTCACCGCGAGAAAAGCAGCCCGCCAAATTTATCATGGACCGGGAATATATAACATCTGGCAACTCTACGGTGTTTCCTGTGTGAATAGAAGTGGGGGAAACTTGGCCAGTGCCCCACTTGTTATCGATCAGGGTGTGCGTTAATTTTCGCTCACCAAGCTGATGAATGCAAATTAAGACACACCAACAATTATCCCTAAATTTTCATTCAAAACTATATTCATGGTTCCCAAAAACATGTCTGAGGCAGAGAAGGGTCTGAGGCAGAGAAGGGTCTGAGGCAGAGAAGGGTCCAATCCTTGTCCTGCTAGAGAAAAAGTCACTGTGAAAGAAATTTCAAGGAGAACAGGACAAGGAACGACAACGATTAAGAGGCTCAAGCGATCAACACGCAACTTTCCCGCCAACGTTATTCCACCAAGGAAATTATCACCAGGAAGACCTAGGAAAACCTCCAAATGCACTGACTCACTACTGAGGCTTGAGATAATGAGAGATCCTAATATGAGTGCATCACAATTGAAGGAAGCACACCCCATCCCCCTGCAAAACGTATCAGAACGAATAATTCAACAACGCCTTCAGAAGGAACTTCATCTGCCTTCCCATCAAGCTACACGAAAACCACTTCTCACGGACCAAATGCGCCGTCAGGAGCTTGCTTTTGCAAAAAAAAATACCAGCAATGGAGCAAAAAACAATGAAATTCTGTGATGTGGTCTAATGAAAGCACTTTTGCACCCTGACTGCAGGGAAACGGACAGTCAGAAGGCCCACCAACACCAGCCGGTACGATCCTCGTTACACCATTAAAACCGTGAAACATCCCGATGGTGTGGGGAGCATTCAGTGGGAAACTTGGTCATGCTGGCCTCCATTTCCTCCCCCAAAACACAACAATGAACTCTGACCGCTGCAAGACTGTCTTGTAGAAATATTTTGGGGATTATTATCGACTTCACCAGTCCACATTCTTCATGCAAGACAGTGCCCTGTGTCACAGGTCAAAAAGTGTGACAACTTGGCTTCATGAAAGGGCTATTTCATTGCTGGACTGGCCTGGGAATTCACCAGATTTAAACCCCATCGAGAATGTATGGCATGAGATGAAGCAGTCAACATGGGACACATAAACTGTACATGGGCTACAGGAGGAAATCAAGCTCATTTGGGAGTTGAGATGGATGGAGAGTATTTTCAAATGTTAGCAGAATTCATGCCAATAAAACTTCAACTGGTAATAAAATGTAAGGGTAATATGACTACGTACTGAATAGTGGTAGAATAAAACATTTTAAGTCTGTAAATGTGTTTCATTCTTCCTTGAAATAAGTTTTAGTAAGAATATCATGCAAAAAACTAAAGGGTATCAATATTTTTTAAGGTAATTGTAACTCAACAGATGCCTATACATTTTGTAACTACCCTGTACAGTAAAAGTCCAAAAATCCGGATGCCAGAAATCCGGACCACCCGAGAATCCGGACTTTTCGAAAACTCAAACTTAACTTTTTTTTTTTTTTTTTAGCTGGCTTTTGTGTGTATGTGTGCATGCGTGAGCGCCACAGCTGCACAGCGATCACGCGGTCGCCACTTTAAAACGAGCAATCAAACTGTGACAACGTATGTAATTTTGAGTCCTACTCTTTCCATTTACAGAGTACTGTAAAAGCCCATAATAATGGCTCCTAAAGTAGATAAACTTCGTTGTGTGAAGAGAAAGAAGAACACGTTGAAATTGAGTGACAAACTTGAAATAATTAAGAAACTAGAACGTGGTGTGAGCAATACTGTTCTAATGGAAACATATAACATTGAAAAGTCTACAATTTATGATATAAAAAAGGCAAAAAATTAAATTTTAGAATTCACAGCTTTATCTTTAAAACTGCTCTTTTAGATAAATGAAGCATGCTATATTTGCTAATGAATAAACTATCAAAATGTACCTGTTCATCTCTTCTTTATTTCTCCTGAAATTTGAATTTTAAAAGTACTGCCTGAGAATCCGGAAAATCCGAAAATCCGGACCGACCCAATCCCCAAGCAGTCCGGATTTTTGGACTTCTACTGTAATTGTTTTGTTGTCGTAACTGTTGTTGAGTCGGCTGGCTGACGTGGCTGAACTTGGTTCGAGACTTGAGCCGAGACAGCTTTGTTCAGTCAGCTGGTATATATACTCGTGAGCGGCCTCGGAACAGTCACTCACTCTCGCTCCGCACTCGAGCACAGTTCTCCTCGCCACACAAATAAACTTGTAATCGTAGCCTGAGTTTTCTTCCTGGATCCAGTGCTACATTGGTGACTTCGGAGTGACCGAAAAGATGACTGTCTTGTTACTATGTCGGTACCAATTGCATCCGGTGCTGCTCCAGCTGCCGACGACTCTGCCATGCTGTCTACCGTCGCACGTCCTGCTGCTCCAGCCTTCATTGGCTCCGACCCGGAGCTTTGGCTACTGCAGCTCAACAGCTACTTCATGGTGTGCCGAATACATAACTGCTTCTGCCATGAAGTACCACCATGCCATGTCGATGCTACCACCTACTGTCGCCATGCAAGTGTGTGACAGCCTCACGGCGCCCCCGGCAGCGGGCCCTTTCGAGAAATTGTGCTTGGCGTTATGGGCGCAGCTGAGCGCATCTTCTCGGCAGCGTATGCAGCAGTTGTTGAGGGACGAATTTCTTGGTGACCACAAGCCGTCCCAGCTCCTGCAAAGCCTCCTCCATTTGCTCTCCACCACCGGCACCACACCGGAAGACTTCATTTTCCGACTGCTGTTCCTACAGTGTTTGCCGGCCAACGTTCAGGCAGCGCTCTCCATATTTCCAGAGAACACCTCACTGGACGTCATGGTGGAGTCTGCTGACCGCTTCATGGAAGCGCCTAGTTCAGTGACTGCCAGTGTCTCGTCCGAGACGCCAGCACCGCAAACCTCTCCTACCTTGGCACCAGAATATTCATTGCCATCCCCGCAGCCTGAGGAAAACCGGCAGCCGGTCACAGTGCCAGCCTATCTACTAGACGCTCTCATCGAAGCTGTTAATTCTATCCAGATAGCGTCACGGCCTCCCTGTGAATGTCGACACCGCCCAGACAGCCACAGCAGAAATTCAAGGCAGCGTCACCAGCAGCGAAGCCGATCGCCCTCGCCTGCATGCCACAGATCGTCAGGCCAGTCCAACAACCTTTGCTTCTACCATCGTCGCTTTGGTGACCGGGCCCTCCGTTGCCAACTGCCCTGCTCCTGGTCGGGAAACGAGTCGCCCAGGTTGTGTGAGAGGCAACTGCCCGGGAGCCAGAACCTGGCTGCCTCTTCCACCTCACGGATCACTGTACCGGTATGCACTTCCTGATAGACACTGAAGTGCAGTTCGGTGTCCTGCCGAAGTTCAGCGGCCAAGCAACACCCACATCAACCACCAAGCTATTGGCAGCAAACGGCACCTGCATCAACACCTAAGGCTCCAAGTCGGTCACACTGGATCTCAACCTTAGCCGATGATACACGTGGAAGTTCTTAGTAGCTGATGTCGGTTTCTCCGTCATAGGCATGCATTTCCTGCAGCATTACTGCTTCTCAATCGACATGCAGCACCAGAAAATCTATGACCAAACCACCCAGCGCTGCATCTGCGGGCAGCCAACCACCATTGCATCTCTGGGACTCACAGCCGACCAACCAGAAATATCTTCTTATCTCAAGCTCTTGGAGGAGTTTCCGTCTGACGTATTCCAGTGACAGCCCTCTGCCACTCGGACATGAAGTGATCCATCATATTGAGACCAAAGGCCCGCCAGTCTTTTCCCACTTTCGGCGCCTGGCACCAGACAGACTCCACATCTCTGAGAGGGAGTTCAATCAGATGCTCAGCCTGGGCATAGTCCGCCCATCAAAGAGCACCTGGTTGTTGGCGCTTCACATGGTGCCCAAAAAACAGCCCGGAAGCTGGCGCCCCTGTGGCGATTACCGCACTCTCAATGTGGTGACAGTCCCCGACTGCTATCCACTCCCACACATCCACGACTTTACCGCCAATCTCGCTGGAGCCACCATCTTCTCGAGGATAGACTTCATGAGGGCGTACAACCCGATACCCATCAACCCAGCTGACATCTGTAAAACTGCTGTAACTACTACTTTCGGCCTGTAGGAGTTCGCCAGGCTTCCGTTCGGCCTGAGGAACACCAGTCAGACATTCCAGCGGTTTATCAATAACGTGCTGAGAGAACTGCCATTCATCTTCTCTTACGTCAATGACTGCCTCATGGCCAGCCGTTCTGAGGAGGAGCATTTGCAGCATCTTCGCCAGATCTTCGACCGCTTCCACCAGTACGGGATCATCATCAACAAGGAAAAGTGCCAGTTTGGCGTCCCCGAGCTCTCGGTCCTGGGGTATCACATCTTGCAGCACGGAACAAAACCCCTGCACGATAAG